TTTTTTTTGCACGCCCGGGTGCCCGGCCGGGCGTGAGAATCTTCCTAGCTATTTAGTAGATATGCATATCGCAGAGGGACTTACTTGATTCGCTTCCATTTTGTCAGTGCTGGCCTCTTTGGCATCACTCTTTTTGACGACTTTTCCGTCATTTGTGCTGTACTTGTCACATTCGCATTCACAAAGCGTTCCAAACTGCCATCATGGCGCTCTGACACTAAGCGCATCAGTTTCTGATGAGCTGCACAGATCGACAGGTCCACACATATAAGACCCACCAAAGAATATCATGAGACCAGCCTTGGTGCAACAAGGTTAGTTAACTTTTGGCACATATTTTACAGACCTTGACGCAGACATATTCCTTTGCATGTTGAAACGAAGTGACCCACGGAGAAAATTTTGCTTCATCTATTGCTTCAGCACTTCCTCAAAGAACATGGCAATGATATTTTCCATCAACATCAGGAGTACATTTTTCATCAAGATCAGGAGCATTCAGCATGAAACCACAAAACCTTGTAACCACCATTTCTATCCCCTTTCCACACATACGCAAAAAACATGAAACAGTTGAAAGCTGGAACTAATCCGTCAAAGCAGTAACTGTCTGGAATCCTCACCCCACCATAGAGCAATGACCACTTCGCGACTGCAACTCACCGTAAAATCATCTCGCCACACAGTCCCACGGCTCCCACTGCCTTGTTATGCTTCTGCATTGTGGTCAGTAGAGAAGCAGCAGCAGCAGCAGAAACGGCAGCAAGACCGATACAATCATAGTCACAGTCACCACCTCAACTTTTAATACTGTGTAGAAAAGAAACCTCAATCCAAAATAAGGCCCTCCCTCTTGACTGCAAATGAAGCTGTGACACCCAAGCCTATGGTGCACCAAATCCTTCACGCTGAGACCTTGATCAAAACATCAAAACCCACTGAAAGAAACAAGCTAAGACCACACTAGTGCCACCCCACCTGCGCAAGACATGGTCGTGCACCACAAAACCCTGGAAAAAAACCCACAAATTGAAAAATCTAAAATTCTGCAAAAATGTATTTGCATTGTGCAATGTCAAACTAATTTACAACACCGTAATCTAATTTCAAGTTTCAACGAAGACTAGATGACCTGTCGCAGCCTCGCCCACATAAAGAAATAAAATTCAAATTAAAACAGAAAGCATACCCAACTGACGCATCCTTTTTTGCATCTTCTCCATAGAACTCTCCAACTACCCACACTCCCCCAGCCAACAAAGAAAAGAAAAATAAAGAGTGTAACCATCTTATCCATCCTATGGTGCATCTTTCTAACTACCTTTTTTGCGAGAAAAGGAGATATCTCATGGAAAGCGAGTATGAATGGCTAATTTGTGACAAACGTGGGGGAAGCTGGGGGGAGGAGGTTTCTCTCTCTAACTTCTTTTTCTTTTCTTGAAAAAATGGAGAGCTGGCAAAGGGTGAGTGGAGATGGTGGATCAGTGGTAGAGGCCGGGGGGGGATAGTGGGGGAGGGTGGAGGAGGGGCCCAGGGGAGGGGAGGGTGAGGTTCTGGCAGGGGGTGGGGAGGATATGATAGAGTGGTGCTGGAGGTGTGGGGACACTTTCCCTCCATCCTCTCTCTCCCTCTTTCTCTCTCTCCACAGTTTTCTTTTATTTTACAAAAACAAAGACTGCGGAGAAGAGAGGAAATGGCGGAAAGGTTGGGGGTTACATGTGGGAAGGTGGGGAAGTTGTAGTGGGATTACGTTGGAGGTGAGAGGAGGTGGGAGGAGGTGGGAGGGAGGTCAGAGGGAGGTGGTGGGAAGACATGGAAGGCTGGGGGACACGGAGTTTGGGGAAAGGTGGGGAAGGTAGGGGAAGGAGAATCTCTCTCTCTCTCTCTAACTATTTTTTTTGTTACAAAAAAGGAGATAGCAGGTGGGCGGAGAGTGGTAGCAGACTGGTGGGGAAGGTGGGTTGACACTCTGCTCTCTCTAACATGTTCTTTTCTTAGCAGATCGTGCATGGAGATTGGTGATGGAGATAGAAGAAGCTGATTGGGGGAGTTTGAAAGTGGTGGAAGGATTTTGGAGGAAGGTTGTGGCGGAAGGTTGGGGGCAGGGCAGAGAGAGGGGGAGGGGACGGTGGAGGGGCACTTTCCATCCCTGCTCTGTCTATCCCGCAGCTTCCTTTTCTTTTCTTTACATAAACAGACAACATACAGAGGGTGACAGATGATCACAGACAGGCGGTGGAGATGGGAAGAGGAGGGAGGGGGGAGGCGAGGGAGAGGGAGGGGACGTGGTGTCAAGTGCAGACTGGCTGCAGTGAAGCAGAGAAGTTGGGGGTGGTGGGTGAGGTGGGAGGGTGTGGCAGGGACATGGGGTGTTTGGGTGAAGAGGGTGGTGGGTGAGGTGGGAGGGTGTGGCAGGGACATGGGGTGTTTGGGTGAAGGTGGTTAGGGGAGGCTCTCTCTTTCTCAAAAAACAGAACAGAAGAAACCTGGAGGGAGGTGAGTGGAGATGACCAATTGGTGGCAGAGGTGCGGTGATGAGGTGGAGGGGCACTTTCCATCCCTGCTCTCTCTATCCCACAGCTTTCTTTTCTTTTCTTTACATAAACAGACAGCATACAGAGGGTGACGAAAGATCACAGACAGGCGGTGGAGATTGGAAGAGGAGGGAGGGGAGAGGCGAGGGGGTGGGAGGGGAGGTGGTGTCAAGTTCAGACTGGCTGAAGTGAAGTAGAGAAGTTGGCGGCGGTGGGTGAGGTGGGAGGGTGTGGCGGGGACATGGGGTGTTTGGGTGAAGATGGTGGGGGGAGGCTCTCTCTTTCTCAAAAAACAGAAGAGAAGATACCTGATGGGAGGTGAGTGGAGATGACCAATTGATGGCAGAGGTGCGGGGTTGAGGTGGGGGAGATCAGAGGGGGCTAAGGTAATTTGGGGGAAAGTGGTAGGATCCATCTCTCTCTCTACCCATATATGAACTATTCACTTTTTAATATGTTGGGCTAGAGGAGGCGAATGGCAGGAGGAAGTGCATGGCGGGGCAGCATGGGCAATGGGTGGCAGGAGGATGTAGATGGCTGGGGAAGGGGGGGTAGTGGGGAGGGGTGGGTTGTAGAAAGGAGGTGGTGGGGGGCTGATGGGAGGGCCTCTCTCTCTCTCTCTCTCTCTCTCTCTCTCTCTCTCTCTCTCTCTCTCTCTCTCTCTCTCTCTCTCT